AGGTTTTTAGGATGCATATACAGTCATACAAGTCCGTAATCACAAAATTCAATAAGGTGAAAGAATAGATTTATGAAGCCCATAAAGTTTATATGTAATGAGATCAATGGAAGGTAAATTATTTTTATTGGTTAGAATTCGACACTTTCTGTCAGCCCTGAGGCCATTTTTTCTTTTGGATCTTCAGGGCTGCCCCACTTAGTCTGTGGGAAACTGGGGGGTTTCCCCCAGATGTGCCAATATGACATCTGTAATAAAATGGAACTTTGAGGAATTGCTGGCCTTGGGTGTCTTGGTTGGGGGTGTTACTTGGAACCCTGACATTTTCTTTTATACTTATTTAAATATAGATTTGCTCTTTTTTTAAAATGTTCCCATTTTTTAATTTGTATTTTATTCTTTTGATCCTTGAACAAAAGTTCTACTACTCTACCAGCATCAAGTTGCCAGTATTACTTGGCATCCTCTTTGGTATTCATGAGGTGACACTTTATTTTGTTTATCTTTTAAATTAACAAATGCATTTTGTTAAAATACAAAACTTCACACCAGCTTCAAGTATAAATTGCGTTTTTGTGTAGCCTCCAGATGCAGTAATGGAAATTAAAAATGATACCAACCACTATGTTTAATAAGGCACTCTTTGGTCAGAATAGAAGAACAGATGACAGTGAATATTTTGGGAGGCTAGAGAATGAATTAAAGCTTACCAGTTTTGCTTTGAGGAAAATAGAGATTTTGTGACTGGCCACACCCATCATGGCTGCCATTTTGAGAGGATACTTAAAACATGCTTTCAAAATTCCAAACAGTTTGGTTGCAAAATTGATTAGAACTATAACTCAAATATCAAAGCATTTGATAATAAATCATAACAGAGGCTGAATGTGTATGAAGAGGAAACCAATCCAATCCTCCGTTCTATTAAAATGTTGCACAATTTAGTGTTTTGTTAAAACTGGCTACTTCAAGATGTGTGGACTTCAACTCCCAGAATTCCTTAGCCAACATATTGCTGAGGTATTCTGGAAGTTGAAGTCACACATCTTAAAATTGATTAGATTTTATGTATCTATAAAACAAGCTGTATGCTTTGTTTGTCATAGGCAAGTTTAGTGAACTTCTTTCATGCAACTCATAGATAGCACTGCATTACAGAGATGAAATTCCATGGAGGTTCAGCCCTTTCTTGAATTCTATTTTATTCCGAGGGTTGCTTCAAGTGCTAATTTCTGTTCTGGTTGCCAAGTTCTTTCGAACAAAGAATGAATGAACATGTAGCACTCCAGATTGCTCATAGAAACTGGTAATTTTGGACGGGGGAAATCGTGGCTAGAAGAGCATTTGAACTGACGGAATCCTAAAATTGCTTCTTATTATTCAGTCTTAAGTGGTTATTAATACAGAGCAGATTGTAGAAATACTATAGCAATAGATGATGAAGAAAGAGCCACTGTTGGCAATTCTAGGCAAAGTTCCAGGATGACAGCTTTTAGTGTGATGGAAATGCCTTGAAGAGAAGTTTGGAAACAAGTACATATGAAATACAAATCCTGCTAGAACGTGTGAGCAGATGGCCGAAATGAAGAGGCAGTGGTGGATAGCAAAACTTCCTGTGAGGGATCACTTCAGAACTAGAATTTCCTCTGATTTTAAGGAATGGCATGGCTAAAATATTGTCCCATACCAATTTTTGGAATAATATCTTGCCCAGACAGATATTAAAGAAACTTAGCACTAACGTGCAAAAATAAACTACCGGTAGCTCCCCTCAAAGCCAAAATATATAGCTCCAAACATTTCTGACAACATAGTAAGTGATCCTGTATATTTCCTTTCCCATATTAAGAGGGAGAGCTCTTATTCTTTCTTCTGGAAAATAAATGACAATCTCATTCCCACGTCCTTGTGTATGTGTATCTAAAATGTTACATATTTTGTGACTATTTCATTCTGAATTAACTTATATTTTGATTTTTCAGAACAGATATAGTACTAATATTTCAGGAAAATAAACAAAATGAAATTACTAATACAGGAACCAATACAGGAATTAGTTGTAAAACTCATTGTGGACATTAAGTTATGGAAATCTGGGTGCTGCATGATTGGGCATTCACCCATTCCCCATCCAGGATCTTCACCACATCCGTAGGCAGAGCAGGCAAGCTTGAGAAAAAAACTGTTGCTGTCTACAGTGGCTGAATTTACCAAAACCCAAACCAACCATAAATGCAGAAATGCCACGGAATATAAATTCCAGATTAAAATCTCTTTATAGAGGCCTGGGATGAAAGTTTATTCGAGTCTAACCATGTGGAGAAAATAACTGCAAGCATGTTATTTGTGTGGATGTGTTTGTGTGTGTTATTTTAAATTTGAGGTTGAAGATCAAAATGGGAAGGGTTTGTTTGAAGTGTTTTCTTGTCAGTTTTTGATTCATGTCTGGAAAAGTCCCTGCATTTTTTGGGGGGGGGGCATGGTTTTCAGAAATGGTTTGTCCTTGCCCCCTTCCTAAGAAGGAGTGAGTGACTGGGACAAGATTAGCTAACTGGCTTTGTGCCTAAGGCAGGACTAGAACTCATAATATGCTAGTTCCTCCCTCTTTTTAAACATTTTTAATATTTTTAAATATTTTTTAGTATTTTTAATATTTAAAGTTTAAATTTGTTTTAAATTGATTGGGGTTTTAAATCTGTCTGGGACAAACTATTTAATTCGATTTTATCTCTGCTTTTTAAATTTTGTATGTATGTATTTTATTGTTGGCTGTTCACCGCCCTGAGTCCTTCGGGAGTAGGGCGGTATATAAATCAAATAAAAGTAAAGTAAAAGTAAAAAAGTTTGGTGTGTGGTTAAGGCTAGAAATTGGTCTCCCAATTTTTAACCTTAATCTCTACACCAAACTGGCATATTACAACAGTATATTTATATGTGTGTGTGTTTGTAGGTAAGAGATGTATTAGACAGATGGAAGGGGGATGGTGGTTTTACCTCCGAGTCCATTTTGCCATGTTCTTCACCCCCTTTCCAATGTTCCAAATTCTGATCTACTGAACTATGTAGCAACTTCAAAAGGAGCAGCTTTCCCAAGTTCAACCTGGAAATAAGAGAGATTAAATTTGGGACTCACATTCCAGATTTGTTCTGCATCGTGAGAATCCTTTTCATGCTGCCAGAGTTCAGGGAACACTTCTGCTGCTAAGATCTTTCTTGTTTCAAGAAAAAGTACGAGTTCTATTTATTTATTCCAACTAGGGTCAGATTTCAGTATAGTGTATAACAGCAGCCCCCAATCTTTTGGGCACCAGGGACTGGTTTCATGGAGAGAGGTTCTTCTGTGAACCGGAGAGAGCGTGGTTTCCCATGCTGCCTGCATCTCGTGGATGGGGCTTCCCTTGTTTGTGCGGCCCGGTTTCTGGCATGCTGTGGTCAGATGGTGGTCCATGGCCCAGGGTTTGGAGACCCCTGGTGTAGGATAACGTATTTTCCCTTCAAGTTTAACCAAATCTTTCTTTTACAATCAGAATATTTTAAGGTTCAGGGTTTTACAATTCATCTTTCACTAGAGATGGACTCTGTAATCAATATCTTCTGATATCTATAATTGATGCCTTGTGAAATCTAAAATTGCATGAGCATATAATAATTTATGAAATTTATATGCCATAACTTTGGCATGATGTGCTTTCTTCTTCTTCTTCCTCTCAAGAGCATCTAAACATTTTCAAATATTATTTTGGAAAGATGAAGACAGGAAAGCAGATTTTCAGGCCAGAAAAGAGGCTTAGTGAGTTTAGGAAATCTGTGCTTGCTGGTTTTGCCAACATAATTCCAGTCTTATTGGATTTAAATCCTGCAACACCAGGCAGGATGCAGTATGTGATGAAATTCCTTACTTTTAGGAAAAGATAGAACCATGCAAAATGCTAGATTCCTTTGAAGATATGTTGTGGGAAAAATTATCCCTATTCCTACTTCTGGACAATTTCATTCATGCTTCATGTAACCAGAACTTGTATATGGTAATCTCAGCTGCTTAGATTAGGCAATTTCTGATTTATTTTTATTTATTTTATTTTATATTGGATTTCTATACCGCCCTTCTCCCTAAGGACTCAGGGCGGTGTACAGCCAGATTAAAAAAACATGCAGAACAAATATTAAAAACAATTAAAAGATATATAAATTTGGCCCAATTAAAACTCATTTACCAATTAAAAACGTTTAAAACATTTAAAAACAGTTAAAAATTTCATCTTAAGCCAGATTCAATTATATGTACGGAAATCTTGAAGTTAAATACAGTCCCATATCTGATTCTAAGACCTGGCAAAGGGAATAAAACAAATAATCTATGCCAATAATCAGGAAAAAAAAATACTGAGTGTAAATTTTTAGGTTAAAAAAAAAGGAGAAAGAGAGAGACAAAAGCACAAAATGATTTTGGTCACATTTCATGTTAGAGAATATTTTTAATTTATTTAATATCATAATTACCTACTCTGTTATTATATTGTATATTTTCTTTAAAAAAATGCAAACAGATTATTGCATAACATTACTTCCAAATTAGCCCAGAAAGATTTGCTAACTTCAGACACAATATGAAAGGTGTACTAATGCTGAACATTAGTCTTCAGGAAAGATTTATGCCAAAGATGTTTGTGTGTGTGTGAAAAGCAGCACCTATTTCATTATCTTTGTTTGGTTTTCTTAAGACAGAATAATGCTGGCAAGGGGAAAGACAAGCTGGAAACATTTTTCTGGGTGTATGTCTGCAGGGTGACTATTTAGCCTGTATCTCAGGATGTGCAAACTATTTTGCATTATTCTAGAGGTCTTGAATAACATAGATAATACAGAATATTATAAATACCACTGAGATACCGAAAAGTGGCTTTGAACAGCATATTTATGTGTCTACAGAGTTTCACTGATGTTGTGGATTTGTATCACGTCCATGAAAAAAAAACAAATTATAAAAATTAGGAAATATATTATACTCACAACGCAAAATACTGTATTTTAGTTTCTGAGACAGTTCAAGCATATACAGCAGATACATAATAAAGCTCGGGAATTTTTTATCGTCTGAAAGAAGCAATCATGAAAAGATGAAATTCTGTTCATATCTCAACACCCATTTAGTGTATTCTGCTGTGTTCACTTTTGAAAGACACACATAAGAGCGTGTGTAAACATACAATGAATACATTATTTGCTACAATTTACAATATATATAGTTATATATATACACATATAGGTGTGTGTGTTTGAATTTTATAAAAATACCAAAAAGAAAAAGTTAATTCCTTGCACTCAGATACTGAGCATTAACCCTTTGAGTACTTCGTCCCCACCTGCAAAGACTGCAGAACGTATTCATCTGACCCACATTTTTATAGCATTCCCACTTAAAATCATTTGTGTATGTACAGCGTGATGAAAAAAGAGTCGTACGGAACATAAATGGATTTAGAATGTACTGATAATAATACAGATAATGAACTGAGCTCTATTAAGATTGTCAGGAGCAGAAGCCCATTGATATGAAGCAAGGGTTTTTTCCCTGCAAGAAACAAACTGTCAAGGTTAATTGAATGTGTGACATCTTTATCAATTGACTTCTAACGTCCACATAATACTGAGTGATTCAAGAATATCTGCAAAGAGGTGGTTAAAAAAAAAAATCCAGAGGGGGGGCACAGCTATGCGATCAAAGCTGGTCCCCCTTTTTTACAATGCATGTAAAAAGGAGGCAGGGCTTCAGTTGAGTGGTTGGTTGCCACCATCTTGATTCCTTCCCTGGCTTTCTTCTTTAAGCATGGAATGACTGATTATTTTTCATCACCGCTCCCCACCACACCTTGAGTTGTATGATTCCCTTCATTTTAAGTCACCGGTTTAAAACTGCACTGTACTTTTATTTTAAATCTTAAACAGCAACTATACAGTAATTCTCTTATTCATGTTTATTAGTGCAATGTGTTCAGATATTCATAGATAGATTTTTCTCCCCCCCCAACTAAAAAATACCAAAAAAACACTTTTTTTTTGCTGAAAGTTCATGAACAGAGAGTAATTTTGGCCCTCGAGATTACTAGATCCGAACAGAATAAATCAGTGAAGGGTCAAATATGTATAGGAATATAAAGGCAATCCCATTTTTGTTTTAGCAATGGATTAAAAAGGCGTGACAAAGGAAGTGATTTCATCCCAAATACAGCATAATTTAAACATCTGCTCTTAAAGTGATATTTCGTTACAGTGAAGTCCTATATATGCATTTCCTTAGCAGTGAGGGCCGGGGGTTTGCTTAGAATGGCCGTCATGGTCACAAGTTTTTACTAGCTACTCTTGGACTGGACTGCTGTGATGATGACGATCATCGCATAACAATGCACGTATAAGTCCTCCCTCCAATCTGGAAACATTGTCAGGAAACAATCCAATCAAAGTTAAGCACTTTGGGTTTCAGTGTTTTAAAAAAATGCAAGCTAGTACTCAGGTTCAATTGTCTTTCTCATTGACATCAATGCATTTTCAAAGTGCTTAGCTCGGGCTGCTGACGTCCTACTTTATTTCTTGAGCGAATAATTGCAGTCCTCAAAGAGTTAATGGGAAAGCACTACTTTGCCTGCACTGATGATGATAGGGCTACTGGCAGGTTAATTCCCAAAGGCAAATGGACCAAAGAGTGAAAGTGGTGGAGAGACGGCTACTAGAGACATACACAGTGCCACATTCAATGGGACATGCTTTGCAGAGACATTAGAGTGCACCCTTATCAAAGCAATCTTTTAACCTCATAGAAAGGATTGTGCCACTTAAAGGAGTGCAGAAGGGTTTTTTTCCTTTTTTTTTTCTTTTCGTAGAGTCAAAATGCTCTAGATTTATACCAACATGGATAGTCACAGCCTTTTACAATAGGGTTTTTTTTTTCCTTTGTACATATGCAACATTAGAAAACAACAAATGGCATTATCCTGACAGATGTCATGCAGAAATTAAAAGTACTATTATTAATAACAATAATCTTAACAACGAAAAATAATACAACCCGTACAGCACTGTAGATGTTAACGTAGGACTTTACCTAGTGTTTCCCTTCCAAAGAGAAAGAAGACAGAACAGTGACATACATGGGTTTACACGCCATAGGCTACAGAAGATCTTTTAGAGACAGCATCGTTTTTATAGGCCTAAAAAGCTGTGTTAGGCTGGTTATAAAATCCTCTCTTTTTCTGCTGACTTCAAAAATTAATAGAAGACCGTTTTTGTTGCAAAAAATAACCAAGGAAAGGCTGTGATGCTGATATGTGTAGAAAAGTATCTGATGCCAATACAGATTTAAAAAATAAATAAAAAGAAAACAATACCACATTACATGATACCGGTAGTCCTTGAATTATGACCTTTTGTTTAATAGTGGCCCGGAAAAAGCAACTTGCATTTACCACTCTTGCATTACCCTCATGATCATGTGACCACCATCTGAGTGCTTGGCAACTAACTCACATTTATGACCAGTTGCCACATCCTGCTGTTATGTGATTTCAGGCATAAAAAATAAAAAGGCCCATTGGAGAAAGATACTAAAGATACTATACAAATCTATACATAGATTTGTATAGTAATGTGATTTGCTTAACAATTGTAGTGATTCACAATGACCACCATAAAAATTGTTGTAAAATTGGCTTCCGCTCAACATATGACAGAAATTCCAATCTCAATTGTGGTCATAAGTTAAGGACTACCTGTACTACAAACACCTCACAGTCTGCTTCCTAGGTTTACATTTTCATTCTCCCTTGAACATTATTCTGTCGTTCTTTTAAAAATAATTTCGAGACTGCTCCTGCTTTTTAAAAGCCTCTTCTTATTAAGGAAAAAAAAAATAGGTTGAAAACCTATACAGTTATCTCATGTGCCACACCAACACGTAGTATCTTATTCGGTTTAGAAGAAAAACAAAGACCAACAGTACAAACCTACCTAGGTCTACTCAGAAGTAAGCCCACCGAATTTAATTGGGCTGACTCACAAATTGCTGTGTATAGGTTTGCAGTCTAAGATGCTTTGAGCTGCAAGCTGAGAAATGTGGCCTACCAACTACACAGTAGTTTCATTCTTCCACGGCCCCGTTTTGATATTTCCTGTACTATCTGAACTATAGATCATGGCTTCATGCAAGTTTCCCTTTAGGATTCCATTGTGGCTGGTTGTGCTAAATGGCAAGGATTGTGTCCGTGGATGCATTTCAAAATGAGGGCCTGTCTCAGTTTCTGGGACTTTAGCACAACTGTAGATCACAGTACTTGCATCACTACTTTCAGGCTGAGTGATGGTTGGATAGGGACTGTTTTTTGCACAACATGGCCGCCTGTGGCCTGAGTGACTGTCATGTGTACTATGGGGACTGTCTGTATGTGAGCTGTGTATGCTGCCGTCAATACTTGAAGGGATGTGGTAAGCATACTCCCTTTCTCCTGCAGATCGATGTCGGCTAAAATATCGTGGTTTAGTTCTACTTTTCAAACATCTGTGAATGTGCATGTTGGGTCTGAAAGTCCCTTCGTTGTGGACATGAATATGAGCTTCATCTTCCAGGAGCTGATCACAATGCATTTTTGCACAGCACGGAGTGACTGGCGAAAGGCAGTTGACGTGGTTTTGAACAGCCTGTAGATTAGTGAGTTTGCAGTGACTAATGGCCGGGTGATTAAAAATGGCAGATTTACTTGGGCATGGTGATTCTTGAAGGCATGAGGCATGAGGTTGGCTTTCACCGTTGACATTAACTTTTGGACGGACATTAACCTGCACCGAGTAAGTGTTCCTCCGAGAAGGGCAACAGGACCACCAGCAATGCCACACATCATCTCGCTTTGCACAGTGATGGATGAGGATGAAGAGCCCCAAGGTTACACAAAATGCTCCGTATAGGCAACTAAATATCATATCCAAGAAATGTCCTTGAGAAACAGCCAGGGCGCCAAAAGTCCAGGTGGCAGTAAACAGAAACAAAGTGAACGCAGCAGCTCGAAGTTGAGCCTTGAAGGAGTGCTCATTTTCCAACAAGGATGAAGACATCATTGAACAGGTTGCTTGGGAAACTGATCCAATGTCTGTCATGTGACTATGGCCAAGTTCAGGACTTGCCAATCTCTGCTGATCTTCTATCCTTTCCTTTAATTCATACTTGCGTTCTGGGTGACGCCTCAATTGCACATAGGTGCAGAGGAAGTAAATGCATGTTACCAGAACAATGAATGCAAGCGGTCCATAAAATGCACCAAGACTTGGCTCCCATGACATCCAACAACTACACACAAGGGTGGGGTGGAATAGAGTTTTTTAAAAAAAGAGAAAAGAAATAAAATTAATAATATTGAAGACAAATTACCTGCGAATGCAAAATAAATAAATACATTTACAATACTGTAAATTGTTTAGAAAAAATATGTCCTCTACAAAAATGGGGCTTACATATGCATAGTAAAGGTAATTACAGGTAAACCTCTACTTACAATGATTCATTTAGCAACTGTTCAAAGTTAAAACATCACTAAGAAAAGTGACTTATAACCAGTCCTTGCCCTGTACAACTGTCGCAGCATCCCCATGGTCACATGATCAAAATTTGGGTGCGGTGTCTTGGATTTGCAGTGTCTTGGATTTCACACAATCGCCATTTGTGACTTTCCAAATGGGCTTCTGACAAGCAAAGTCAATGGAGAAGGGGGGGAGGGCTTTTAAAGGTGCTTTTTCAAAAGGCAACCTGACTTTGTTTTTTCCTTGAGGAAGATGCTTCACTTCTCATCCAAGAAGCTTCTTCAGTTCTGACTGAATGTCCGGGGCAGGGATGAAAATGGAAGGATTTAAATTCCTTTACAGTCATCTGGTCATTAGCACTCTCTCTGAGAGCCCTTTATCTGTGCCGACAGGGTCATCTGAATCACCTATCTCCTGTTTACAACACAATCCTTTCAGCAGTTCCAAGGGTATTCCACCCAGGGGTGAAATCTAATTTTTTTTGCTACCGGTTCTGTGGGCGTGGCTTAATTAGTGGGTGTGGCTTGGTGGTAAGGTGACTGGGAGGGCGTGGCTTGTTGGTCAGGTGGGTGTGGCCAAGTCAATGTCACTTCTTTGCCCTTTTTTAACCTACAAAACACAACACAACACAACACAACTGCTCACCCACAATATAAAAGCAGCTGTGCTAGACCCAAAATGGCCCCTGCAACAAGCAGAAATCTCACACAGCCACAAAGAGCCCAAAAAACTAACTTTCACACTTTACACACACAAAATTCCACATACAGCTTTGTGAGATTTTGTGTGTTTGTGTAGTTAGAGTGAAACACTACAAAAACACCCTAAATCTCAGAAAGCTGAACAAATATTATTTTATTTTTATTTATTTTTATTTTTATATAAAAGCAGCTAAATTTAAAACTTTCTAAACTTTAAATGGCTAGGTCTAAAAAAAGAACAACTAAAAAAAACACCAATTAACTATTTTTTTAAAGTTCCCAAAGGGAGCTTTAAGACTTGTAGACTTCAACTCCCAGAATTCCTCAGCCAGCTTTGCTTTGCTGGCTGAGGAATTGTGGGAGTTGAAGTCCACAACTCCCTGCCTGCTTGATTGCAGGTAGGGAGGTTCAGTTGCTTGCTGATGCAATGGATTGCAGGGATTACAGCAAGGTGTTGCGACCAGCAGCTAAGGTAAGCAAGCTGAGGGGGGGAGGGGGAGGGATTTTTGCTACCGATTAGCAGGCAACTCAGCTGGGGTCGCCAGAGCTTGGCTCGTCAGAGCCATTTAAAAGAAAAAAAGGCTCTGATGCTTGCGCAGCTCAGCTGGGCATGGGGGGCGGGGGCAGGGATTTTTTCTACCGGTTCTCCGAACTGCCTGCTGCCATCACTACCAACTCGCCTGAGCCGGTCCGAACCGGGAACATTTCACCCCTGATTCCACCCCTATCTGCAGGTGAGATGATTCTGGTGACCCTGATGGCACAGATAAACCCCCAAGTGGCCTCACTGGCTTTCAGAGAGAATGCTAACGACCAGATGACTGCAAAGGAATATAAAGCTTTCCATATCCCTCCACACACCATTCAGTCAGAACTGAAGAAGCTCCTTGGATGAGAAGTGAAATCTCTCCCTCAAGGAAAAACAAAGTCCAATTGCCTTTTAAAAAAGCTCCTTTGAGACAATCATGACCTGGATGATTGAGAATCTCCATAATCAATCGGGCAGAAGAAGGATTTGCTTAATGACTGCAGGATTCACTTAACAAGAAATGGCAAAAAGGTCATACGTTCAGGCACAATTCACTTAACAACCACCTTGCTTAGCAATGAAAATTTGGGACCCAATTATAGTTGTAAGTCGAGGACTACTTGTAACACCCATCTAGTTTTTACCCATAGAACAGCTTTTAAAACTGACATTTTAAGCAATATGTTTGATAGGATCTCAGCCTGTTGCGGAGGTTCCCCAGTGAGATCAGTAGCTGAGGTAAATATAAAACTCCCTTTAATCTCCACATCACACTGGCTCTCGTATCATACAAGAAAACAAGTTTTCATTAAAGCTCTCTAGATACCAAATCCAATACTCTGGTTTTGAAACACAGCTAATAAAATTACCTCACGGTGTATTGTCAAATCTGAGTGCATCCACAGAGAAAAATTGGGGATGTTTAGAGATTCGCTCACTCAAAGGTCTCTAATACAAACTACAATGATAAAATAATGATGGAATGTGCATTGCAACATCACATTGTCTTTTCATATTGGTGTCCTGACACTGGACATGTATGATAGGCATGATACTACAACACACACTTTGTCACTTGCTTCCCTTGTCTCTTCCTTCCCTACAATCCCACTTGAATTCGCTTCTTGATTCCAATAAAAAAAAAAGATGGGAAATGGTGTTCACTCAGAGCCACTAGTGTAGAAATTTTTTGGCAGTGTGATTGCTGAAACCTCCCCTTTTGTGTAGAGAAGTGGAGGAAGCAGACTCTTCTCAACTAATGTAAAGGAGGGGAGCAGTTAACATACAGGAGCCTGGAAGAACAAAAGTCTGTATCCATCAACCCAGTGCCCAAAGCTGGACAAAGTAATATATGAATTTAAATAATCCTTTAAAAGTAGTCCTTAACCTAAAACTATAATTGAATCCAAAATTAAGGTCATAAGGTTGTTGCAGTTGAAAGTTGAAGCATCACGTGACCAAACTCAATTTTTTGTGATAGTCGTTTAGCAAATGCAGTGGTCCTTAAGCGAATGCAGTGGTGGTTAAGAAAATCAATTTTTCACAGTGGGTGTTTTTTTTGCTGGAAACCAGAAGTGAAAGTGGAACTGGCGAAAAAGTTGCAAATTGCAGTCAAGGTACCATGGGATGCTTGCAAACGGCTGTAAAACCGAGTTGGTTGCCAAGTGCCCATAGTGTGATCACATGACCTTGGATGGGTGTGGCCATCATATCTTTGAAAACGAGTTGTAAGTAGCTTCAGGGAGGTCCTTCATAACTTCGAATGGACGTTAAGTGACTGGTTGTAAATTGGGGACTACCCGTAAATATCTCCACTAGGGAAGGATAGTGAGTGAGTGGCTGTCCCGGAATGGGCCTTTTCAGTGGTAGCCCCCTGATTTTAGGATGCCCTCCCTAGTTAGGGTACAATGATACACACTTTACTGTTATTACAGTGCTGTGCAACTCTATTCTTCTTCTAAGAGCCAGGGCTAATAATTCGTACGTTGCATAATTATGAAAATAATTCATAATTACAGATAGTCCTCGACTTACAACCATAATTGAGCCCAAAATGTATGCTGCTAGGTGAGAAACATGTTAAGTGAATTTTGCCCCATTTTATCACTTTTCCTGCCACATTTGTTGAGTGAATTACAGCAGTTGTTAAACTAATAACATGGTAGTTAAGTGAATCTGGCTTCCCCATTGATTTTGCTTGTCAGAAGGCTGCAGAAGGGGATCACATGACCCGGGGACATTGCAACCCTCATAAATGTGATTCAGTTGCCAGGCATCCGAATTTTGGTCACTTGACCATAGGGATGCTGCAACAGTGAAAAATGGTCCTAAGTCACTTTTTTCAGTGCCGTTGTAACTTCGAACAGTCACTAAATGAACTGTTCTAAGTTGAGACCACCTGTATTTTCTTCCTTATTGCTGTGTGGTAGTTTTGCTTAGTTTTATTCCAGGCACTCTTGAATATAGGTCCCCCCCTCCACCAAATATCCTGAGCAGCCACTTACAGAGGCTTTGCTTTCCAGGCGCTAGGATTAACAAGGGGATAAACTCTGAGCTGATTCAGTAGATGCTCACATGTACCTTTCAGGTTGTAGAGGTGTGGCCTTATTTGAATTTCTCTGCTCTCAAGTGTGTCTCACTAACACATAAAATATTAACAGCTTCCTCTGATTCCTCAGAACAGCTCTCTTGTTTAGTTTAAGAAAAACAACACAACAACCCTTCCCCCAGACAACATCTCCCCCCAGTGAGAGCCAATGTAATTTTCCCCTTCTGTGGGTCAGTGGTATTTTCAAAAGGCTCTTCATCACAGGCCACTTCAAAACTTAGCCCCATAAAAGCACACAGACATTGGAAGGTCTACATGTGTATGATGTGAAAAATGAATAAGGCTTACAAGACACTGTGCTGTGGCTTAGTCTACCTCTCTCTCACTCCCCTGAGCAATTTTACCCCTCCACCTGTTTCCTGGTTTTCTACTCGTATTGTGATATCTGGTATTGATTGCCTGTGATTAAAGTGATTAAACTAAAGTAGTACAACCTCTGTAAAAGTGCTGGCAGGAAAGTCTCCCACAAATTTATGAACATAAATAATCAGATCTTTTAACACCCTGTTGATTATAAGTGATTGTCTAATCACACATGATGGAATAAATAGGCTTTAATAGGGTAGAACTTCCAGAAGAGTTTTGTGTTCTCTTTAATCTGCGGAAGTTCTTCCTTTTTTCTAATGTATTTCTCAAATAAAATTTCCTAAAAGTATTTCCATGAAGGAAAAACACAGTTTGCTTTACTTCCTCTGTTTGTTTATAAATATGGGAACACTGAATCTGCCTGGATATTAACTGAAATGCTTTCCTTAAATGCTACCAAAATATTGTAATACACAATTTATTAATGCCTCTGTGGTACTTTTTAGTACTCAATTAAACCAATGCATTTAGAAGAAATCGCTGGATTTCTAAACAGGTGTGCGTCCCCTCATGCATTCATATATTTACTTTATAAACATAAAAAACCATAATTAGCCCGCAGCATAGGCTGTGTGCAGAGTATAATACGTTATGTTATAAAATGACAAAAACTACATGCTGATAGGGAGTAACTAACTTGACAGGGATCCTGGATTAGGCTGTATGGTTCCAGACTGAAAGTTATTTAATCATGGCTTATTTTTTACAGAAATAACAGTGGCGTCATACATGGAAAATATAGGGATATACTTACAACTGAGCTCCAGCGTAACTTTTTATCCCATAATTATTTATGTTGGTTGCTGCAGTAATTCCACAGATAATAAAAGGAACTCCTCCACTAATCAGATAGAACCTGTTTCAAAGACAATTATTTGACAGGTGAATTTGCTTGGCATCAAGTAAATATTTTTAAAGTTTGAAACAAGAGTCTTTGAACGTAACTCAGTTCATCAATTTCAATCACTCATTAAAACTGGAAATAAAACAAACTGAAAATACAGTGTGATGGTCTAGAAAGTATAAATTTCATATTTAGAAACATATAGTTTAGAATTTCAGTGTGAAATGCATTCGAAACTGGGGGTACTTCAATAAAAATTATTTTCATTTAACCATGGATGCAACCTTTCAATAAGAAAAAAAAAATCAAAATCCCTACATTCCAGCCTTAAAAATGAAAGCTGTTTTCAAACAAAAAGGGATTACTGTTGACAGTGAAGAATGTGTTTAAAAACAGAAGATAAAATAATTTTATTCTGAAAAATTAGCCAAACCAACATTTCTAGCAGAATGACCATATGTATTATATGTTATTATCCAACTTTAATAGATTAAAAAGTATAACCTTGCAAAAGGCCTATTAAACTAAGCCATTGTCCTTTGTAAACATGGCAGTGTCTTCTCTATTCCCAATCTAGAACCTGAGCTAACGGCACAAAAATATATCACACACAGGCTTTGGGCAAACAATTATTTTGTTTCATGTTGAAAGAATACAAATGTTCTATCTTACTTGATTATGTAATTAATATGCTAGAACCCAAAATGACAAACCTGAACCCATGAGCTTCCAATCTTGAACTTTCCTTTGTAAATATTAGCGCATAGTAAAACTTTTGATAGCAGAGATGGGAACCTATGTTCTAAACAATATGGTTCTGACCCCAAGAAGAGATGTAGAGAACAAGAAGAAGGCATATCGCCAAGCTAGAAAATCTCTTTTACAGGGATGCTAAAGCTAGAATTATTCAAACAATCCAAAGCTGAGAATACAAAATAAAGATGGCACACAGAAGAGTGGGGGTTACGTACGGTAATGTTGATATATATATGCAAGTTTTGGTGTATTCGGGTCTTTTTCCGTGTAAGATTGAGAGTATCTTGGCGATGTTTCGACGAGGTCCCACTCGCCATCTTCAGGCTGATGTCTTTGGCTTCGTGCTTGTGCGAGGAAAGCTTTCCGAGCAATGCGGTCACACATTGCTCCTAGAAGCACAAAGCCGAAAACACCAGCCTGAAGATAACAAATGAGACTTTGTCGAAACGTCGCCAAGACACTTCCAATTTTACGCGGGAGAAAACCCGAATAACCACAGACCTACATACAAACACCCGCGAAAACCTCAGAAAACACACACACACACACACACACACACACACACACACACACACATATATATATATGTATATGCATATTGTGAAAAGAAATATATGGTGTAACACATAATTCTGACATTCTGCATACAGGAAAAGAACCTTCTCTGCCATTGCACCCACTCTATGGGAGAGCTTGCTCCCAGAAGCGAGGAAGGCCCCTCTATTCTAGCCTCCTGGAAGAGCGTAAAGACCTGGCTCTGCCAACCGGTCTGGGGTTCTAAACATACCATGCAACCCTGGGGATGGTTGGTGGGCTGAAGGCACTTCCTCTGCTTTTTAACTCTGCAATTGTTCTTTTTAATCTCTGTTTTTAATCTGGGGTTTAACTTTGTTTTTAATTATAGCTTTCGTATGATTTTACTGTTTTATCTGTAAACTGCCAACAGTCACACTAGTGACCTATAGGGGTAAAGAAATTTGATAAAATAAATAAATTTGATAAGTATGTTGCCTCCAGCCACAGCCTTAGCCACTGCTGATACCGGCTGCCTAAACCACTTTAGCAGCTGGCCCCAGGCCTAGTTGGATTCATTGTGATGCTGAGGAGGCTATATCTCTCAAGCTTTGCTTCTTAAAATGTCCTTATGTGCTTTGTGAAAGGAAAATTAGACCAGTAACTCTAAGCTACTCAGGATGAGAAGCCCAGAAGGGTAATCACTGCTTGGGAGCAGGTACCATACGAAAAATATAGCGGAGAAGGGATGCTGGGCAAAAGGGGATGTAGAAAATGCACTGTTTGTGCCTATATAAGAAAAGCTGGCTTAAATGATGTATTTACTCATTATGCTGACATAAACTAAATATTATTTATGTTGTATAAAAGGTTTTAATAATTAAGCAGACTTACCATTTCTTTTGCTACTTACATGTACAATAAGTAATAGTGAAATACGGGATGATGACACTAGTTACTTCTTGGAACCAAACCCATTTTAATGTGTGCAATGCATATTAGTAACTGTTATAATTAAACAGTGAATCATTGTCAGGCCCCATCATAAGCTGAACAAGTTTCCTAGGAGATACGTGTTTTTCAAATAAAACACTCATCCTAGTGCCCCTACAATCAATATAGTATAGAAATGATTCCGGTTGAAAGAAGCTCTAGAGAGGTAGTGCTCAATCTAATATCAACTCTTGAAAGAATAAAAGTCCAACTTTTCTATGAATGACAATTCTATGTTACATACATTTTGCTATTAGAATTAATGAAAAAAATTACATCTCTCCCACCTTTCTAATTAATTTTATTATCATTGAAAATGGTTTCCTCATCTGGTCCAAAAGACCATTCATGGCATCCCCTTCCTGGCCAATGAACTCCCCAATAATGACATTAGTCATCAAAGCTTCTTGCATCCCTTGTTTCACATCTCTGCAACATAGAGAAAGGATGCAATTTGCCACTTTGAGGCAAAAGAAAAGTACTGACAGGAAGAAATTTGAGGTAATGATAGCGATGAAAAGAAGGAAAGCTGCTGCTAATTCAAGTCAGACACCCTATTTTCCTCAAGCCTTCCCCAAGTGATTCATCACCCATTTTCTTCTCTGTACTGTGAGATCTGTGTTCACTTAGAAGAACCAATTAAAAAAACAAATACAGCAGTGGAGAGAGAAGTTGAGGGGAAAACCTTTCCCCTCCTCTCGATTATTGCCAACAGGATAGGCCTCATCAAGTAGATGAGAAGGGGAAATGACTCAGCTGGACAAGTAGTTGGTAAACTGAAAGGCAAGAAAATCAAGGAAGGGGCTCCCAGGAGGGAGCATGGAAAAAAAATAAATCCTTGGTTAGCAATGCTATGGAACTCATGCAGCAGCACTTTTCCTGCGAAGCTCAAATGAATCAGAATGTAGAAGAACTAGGAGTCCATGGAGATTCTCAGTCATCCAGGTCATGGTTGTCCCAAAGGTGCTTTTTCAAAAGACAACCGGACTTTGTTTTTCCATGAAGACATTTAGCTTCTCATCCCAGAAGCTTCTTCAATTCTGACTGGTCACAACTGAAGAAGCTTCTTGGATGACAAGTGAAATGTCTTACTCGTCCAGGTGACTGAAATGTCCTACTCGTCCATTTTCTCTTCTCATCTACTTGATGGGACCTATCCTGTTGACGATAAATGGAAGGAGAGGAAAGGCTTTCCCCTCAACTTCTCCCTCCACTGCTAAATTTTTTTTTGGTTCTTCTAAGTGAACACAAATTTCACAATGTAGAGAAGGAAATGGTCAGAACTGAAGAAGCTTCCGAGATAAGAATAAAACATCTTCAAGGAAAAACGAAGTCCAGTTGCCTTTTGAAAAAGCACCTTTGGGACGAAAGAATTGGAGGCCACCAGATTGACAGGTCATGCTTATACTTTGATATGGGGAATGTTGGACAGTTAATTTGTAATGTTTGTTATGAAAAAACTGTGTCCCACAAGACTGCTTCTGAATCTCACCAGGGTTATGTGCACTATCCTCTGAGAAACACTGTTCTTTGGCTGAGATTACACTACTAGTTCTGCTTCTGCTGAATTATTACATCGTGAATGTATCTCATGTTTTCCGAGAATAACGGTACCATTGGATAAACTTCTATTTTACAATTTTTTCAGAAACAATTAGGACCCCATGGTTCCATTTCAAATATTACAGTGGAATTGCAATTCATTAGTTGCACACAGTTCTGTGAACTAAAACAAAAAAAAAGTGTGAAGTATTGAGTTCAGATTAGACAATGGCAACCTTGAACCGATGTGATTAACTTTTACTAGAATCACAAGGTCTAACAGCTGTAGCTTGAGGGATAGAACTAAATATAAAGTGGTAGCTCAGAAGTAATTATCTGAAATGCCAAACAATATAATGGGATTTTCATATAAAAGACAGGAAAAATATAAACAAGTACTGGTAGTTTTATAGCACTGAAACCCATTGCAATACATTTTGACTTTAAAAAAAGCCAGGAATCTGAACTAAAAAAATCAGGGTAATGTTTATGGGGGAATTTAAAATAAGATTTTGAAGCATGTAAAGACGTCCTGGATATAGCAATAGAAAACTGTTGACAAAGTTGATTATGTGTCTAGCAGAAAACCACTGATACTTAAAATTGCCACACCTTCCCACTACTTCAGAAAAAGCAAAAAAGGTCACAATAGAGAGGCTATGAACTCTAAGTGGAGGCAAGGGCAGGGCGATGACTGCCAGAATACCAAACGTGAGAATTCATTGAAGGTTCTTTTTTTTTTTTAATTTGAAATGCAGCCTAATGGGAAGTTGTCTCCACAAGACAACTGTTGCGAATGAAGACCCTGTGGGAAGAATATGCACACTTGTCTCATCTCTGAGGCTATATCCTGTTCCCTGAAACAATTTATTTCTTCACAATGGGTTTTTCTAGCTCTCTAGGAAGTCCAGGCAGAATGCTGCTGTAAACTTAATATTATTTTCTATGAACTGATTCGTTGTTATGACTGGAGAAAAAACAGCAGGCAGCCTCCCCCACTGCAAACATAATGGTGGAAATTGCAGTGATCTGCACTGTTTGCTTCTCTGTTTGATATTTGTTTTTGAATAGTGCATAGACAGGTTCTTACTCTATATATTTGTTGATTACTAATTTATCAGTGGGTCAGGCTTCTAGAAAGTCCTGTGCATCCTCCCTGCCCACCGTCATGGAAAAATAGTGATTCACTATAGTCTAAGCTAACTGAG